ATGTGGTTGCAAACCCATAAAACTTTGGTTAATCTTTGAAACACAAATTATTATAATAAATATATTTTTAATGAAACCTGAGAGGTCTGAGAGGTCTGTCCCTACTTTGAAAGTCCAGGTAACCAAACAAAGAAGATCCAAAGAGGTCATAAAGGCATTGTGAAATGAATCCATATGAATTGAGCGGTTTAATCAAAGTCTTGTCAAGAGATACAATTGCTTTACCTCATTGGTTCTCTTTTATCACACACGCACATTTGAGCTGTGTTTATCAAATGTGACATGCTATATGTTATGTGTCTATCTTTAGATGTTAATCGAAGCCTAATTTAAATCTGTTTATCATATAAAGTGATCATATCTTTTCAAAAGAAGTACGTTAAACCACTTGATTCATATGGATTAATGTTATGATGCCTTTATGACCTTTTTTGGATCAACTAAGTTTTATGGGTTTGGAACGACATGAGGGTGAGTAAATGATGACAGAATTGTCATTTTTGGGTGAACTATACCTTTAACCATTAAATGAGATACACAACTTGCCTGGAAATAAACATTCTATACTGTATATATGCTGGTTACTAAACAACCATGCTACCCATGTTAAAATGCAAAAGCCTTTTAAAAATAACCCTTGTCAAGTTTGTTGAACATGTAAGCTTGAATAAAAATAAACGCGATGTGCTCTAGCAGCTCTCAAAAGGATCCGTCAGTGCATTTACAATAAGACAGCTGCATCTCATGGGGGATGGGTGGGCCTCCCCCCTTCTTTCCCTCTCTTTTCAGTAAAAGCATCAAACCATTCCTCATAGGAGACATCATTATGACTACATAATGTGATGTCATGTTTTGGCTGCTATGCAACAATATTGGATTTTTTCCCCCCATGGAGACACGCCTTGATGTGTGCAGACCGGCCTACAGGCCGCAGCAATGGATTGAAAACAACTATGCCGGAAGATGCTTGGATGCAGGCTGTGATGTTAGAGATGCTCGCATCAGCACCAGAGATGCTCGCATCATCCCGTGCAGGAAATGATGCTTGCATTAGCACCGCCCGCATCCCACTGGCTCTCTGCGGTCAGCCATCAACTACAATTGTGACCCATATCAATACATCCCAGGCAGGCCTTTGAAAACCTCTGCTTGCATGTCCAATACTACGAATCTTTGCTGTTTCCAAGGGTGACGGAGGTGTTTGCTTATCAAGTCTACCTAATACTGTCCAGATCTTTGCATGTATCATCTTCAATAAAAATAACAAGTAATGCGGGTGTTTCGTGTACATTTCATTGTAAAACACAACATATGACTGCAATATAAAACATATCCTCTTATAAAAACATATCGTTTATAATAAACAATAGGTTGTTCATCGGCATAAGGCATGCGTGATGAATTACTTCATTCGAATAATCAGAAGGCAACACAACATATGCCCTATATGCCTCCCAGCATAAGCATTAACAATAACCACACTTTCGCACGCATGTACGCACTGACATTGCGTTAACTGTTTGGCATTGCACTGACATTCGCATTTGATGTTCACGCTATCAGATGCTGAGTATGTTTACCTTTGTATATAATTCAGACGCAGCCATGATAATGCTCGCACAATGTTCCTGCAATCACAGTCAGCTGAACATCCGATCGGTCCCGAACATTCAAAGCTCTCCTGTAGATCTCATTAAAGTGAAAAGCCTTTAGAAGGATGTCATGAATCCAAAGGCACCGGCTCATTCTTCATGAATCTGCCCGTGTTTCTGGCGTGTCTCTGTTCGCTCTGGGTGCGATCTATGCAGAGAATGAGTCAATGAAAACGCGGTTGCCATGACCAAAAATAATGACGCAAGAGTGCGCTCTGGTGGACAACACTGGACCACCACACACTTGCATCCCCAGTTTTCTATCTATCTATCTATCTATCTATCTATCTATCTAGCCATATTTATTTATTTATTTAGACTTGAGCAATAACAACTATATGATAACGGGATATATTTGTGTCTATGTTTTGCTGCGCAATGTTGGCTTTTGGCCATAATTCCTGCAGACTGCAGCCAATGGAAACGCTTCTCTATCAGTGCGTCCTGCTCAAGTGTGCCGCACAAGTCCTGAAAAGTGAAGCCAAAACGTTTCGACCCCCCAAGAAATGCTCCTCACAGGACAGAGCATGAAAGCAGACTGCAGTTTTTGTTCAGTGCTGAGTTAGGCCTATTCAAACTCAGATCCTCTCATTATAACAAATAAAGTGTGGACACAATGTAAATAATAGATTCAGTGTGCAGTGGAGAGCTTCATTAACTATGAAACTTCATTAAATTTGTGAGATTGCCATGAATTAAGATGAGTGAAATATTGCCTCATAATGGGAAGGTTCATTTCTGTCATTGATCAGAAGGTGCTCCTAAATTTTTGATTGTGTTCCTAATTTTTGTTTTATTAATTTTTTTTTTAAATAGGAGCACAAGTGCTCCTAAAAAGAAATGCAAGCGTAGAGTCATTTTACAAACTAATTGCAAATGTTTATGCAAAGTGTATACTATTAAATATAATCTACAAATCATGCAATGCTGTACCACTAAATAAGAAGTGTTTTTATGGAGGTCTTAGCTAATCAGGCCAATTAGAGACAATTACTAATCACTCTCATTTTTTATTAAATCATTCTTTCATTTCACTCATCTAGATACATTTTGTTTTAATTATTAAACAAACGGGACCATTAATGATGCTTATATTATAAGCATTGCAGGGTGCCTGTTTTGATAACATCAAATTTTTCATTTTTGGGTGAACTATCCCTTTAAAGCTGAAACATGACAAAAAGAAACGGTGCAGATCAACTGCATTATTAGAGATAACTACATTATCAGTTAACTCCATAATTCTGGTACAATTTACTCACCTTTATGTCATTCCAAGCGCAAAGACTTTTTTTGAATCTTATATTCGGTCTTCTGAAGCCATGTAGCCTAATAACTTAAGTTGTAATTTGCTATAAAACGCTCTCACATCTCATTCATGCTTATGTTTTTCACTGCAAAGTTTGCAGCATTTCTCATGACTGATTGATATGCGTCATTTGAATGTTTTGAATTGAACTGCTAATAACTGTTTTAGTGAAACAACTGTTATTTTTATAAGAAGTGTTTTTATGGAGGTCTTAGCTAATCAGGCCAATTAGAGACAATTACTAATCACTCTCATTTTTTATTAAATCATTCTTTCATTTCACTCATCTAGATACATTTTGTTTTAATTATTAAACAAACGGGACCATTAATGATGCTTATATTATAAGCATTGCAGGGTGCCTGTTTTGATATCTAAGAAGGTTTAGAGAAAATATGAAATAAGTGTAATGTTATTATAGATTATAAAGGGTTTTATAATTAAACACTTTCAAAGTCAGAGTCCCCTCAGTGAATTTTTGGCCATTTCCACCACTGACTATTACATTTTAATTTAGTCTTAAATTATATGTCATTGGTATTTAAAAATTTAATAATAAATTATTCAAATTCTAATTTAATATGCTACTGCATTATTGACTGCATTACAGCTATGATCAATCGAGTGTCCTCCACTTAAAGGGATAGTTCACCCAAAAATGAAAATTTGATGTTTATCTGCTTACCCCCAGGGCATCCAAGATGTAGGTGACTTTGTTTCTTCAGTAGAACACATTTGATGATTTTTAACTTTAACCGTTGCAGTCTGTCATTCGTATAATGCATGGCAATGGTAACATACTGTATTTTTGATTAACGGCAGCCTTTAAAAAATATATTCCAAACTTTTACCTGTAGGGTATAAATAAATATACAGTATAACAGTGTATCATTAGTGTCCACTCTGCCCTCTGTTGGTGCAGTTCTCATTCTTAGACACAATTGTGGTAGATTATAAAACACTCTCTATAAGATTTTACATTATCAGCCCAGATCCTTAACCACTACGCAACATTTTTTTATATACATTTTCTCAAGCTTGTTAAAAATCTCTGACATGCCTTTGCTCAAGACCACACTGGCTGGCAATATCTGCTAGAATTCAATTAAGGACACTGTTGCTGGCTTGATTATTTTTCTCCACTTCTACTGAAATGTTTGCCTCTTCCCTGACCCACCATGCCTGCTCTATTATGCTGTCAAATATCTCACTTTGCCCCACTCTCAGATCTAAGGATGAGTTTCTTCATTTCCACCCACTACACTGAGCTATTTATTTGTTTCTGTCAGGACCACTATCGTCAAAGATCATTGACAATTAGCATACAGTTTGGATTGGCGGTATGGTTCTGTTCTGGGCAAGAACTCCCTGCGCATCCATGCAGCCTAGCATGGATGAGAGCAGGGAGAGCAGCGATAACAGATATCATTAAAGTTCAATAATTTTATGTACACATTTTAGAATTAGTCTGATTCAAAGGAGAATCAGAAGGCTGAATCCCGACTGACAGAGGAGGAGATATTTTAAAATGTATTGTGCGTGTGTAAATTACATTTTAAAATAGAAGTTATTTAAAATTTTAATAATATACACTGTATTTTTGATTAACGGCAGCCTTTAAAAAATATATTCCAAACTTTTACCCGTCGGTAATAAAAGGTAATAAGGACCTGAGCTAATATGACAATGAATAGCAGTATTTATATTATCTAACATTAACAAATATGAAAAAATACTGTAACAAACATATTGCTTATTATTAAGTTTACTTTAGTTAATGCACTACTAATGGGACCTTATTGTAGTGTTTATTTTTTGGAATCTGAGAAATGGAAATATCAAGCCCAATAGATAATTTCACTTATAAAAATACTCAAAATCACAGAAGGTTTGCAAAACTATTTTATTTACAAGTCAAAATGGCTCAAAAGCGGCCAGTTTATGCTCATGCAAACCGTGGAGTTTACTGTAGTGTGACGATGTGGTGTGAGGAGCCGACAGGCAACTGTCTCCCTCCTCTGCATAGAAGACAATTTACAGGAGATCTCATGGAGTTTATTACACACCAGAAGGTGGAGAAGCATCCTCACTGCCTGGACTCTACAACCAGACACAAGTGACGTATGAAAGAAACGTGTGGCGTTACAGAACTGCTTGCCAATCTGTGCATTGGCACTACATCATCATAAGGCTTTAAGCTCTATGGTACAAAACAAAATGACAGCAGTCTCAGAGATCTGCATTACATGCTATCAATCATGACTAACCAAGTGTCCTCCACTTAAAGCTGAAACATGACAAAAAGAAACAAGCATTCTCATCAAAGAAACAGGGTGCAAATCAACCACATTATTAGAGATTACTTTCAATTCATTATCGATTCAAGCACTTAACTCCATGATTAATGGAAAAGCTCACCCCTAAAAGAAAATTCTAGCACAATTTCCTTTTTACTCTTATGTCATTCCAACCGCACGTGACTTTCTTTGGATCTTATATTAGGTCTTCTGAAGCTATGTGATAACTTAAGCTGTAATTTGCTGAAAATGCTTTCAATCTCATTTACGCTTATGCATATTCAAACATTATTTTGTATGGTGCTTTTGCATCAGCATCAAATAGCCATTGGTTGTGCAATTTCTCGTGACTAATTGTAATGCGTCATTTGAATGTTTTGAATTGAGCGCAAGCACTTATTTGGAAAAATGAAAAATTTCAGTCCCACACACAAAGTTATTGTATGGCTTCAGAAGACACAAGATAAAAGCATGGCAACACAGTTGCCAAATATCAAATGCTGACCTAGTTACACCTGACTTTCTGTCCGTTACAACTGAAGCTCCATGCTGAAATTCACATTTGGCTTCTGTAAACAGTAAATGCCTTCTCTGATTTGATTGGCCATCTAAGTCATTTTGATACTGATGAGTGCTGTGTGTGCAGCTCAGATAAGTAAGTACATTATCTTGGCATTGTACAACATCTTTGCAACAAAGTACAGTTATTATTAGGCAATTATTTAACAACTTTTATAATACACCTAGAAAAAATGCAGAGGTCCGTATCTCGTTGAACCTCCATGGTTGGAACAAGTTGTATGAACTACTTAAAGTACAATTTTTTGTAATTCCCGGAGCTCTACAACCCTTTCCCTCTATAGACTTTCTTTGTTTGAAAAAGAGCAACTTTGACATTCCACTAAACATTTCCTTTTGCGTTCACTGGAGGAAATAAAGTCATGCGCAATGGGTAAATGACAGAATCTTCATTTTTGGGTGACCTTGTCCTCTAAGCAATGGGTAATTGAGGAATGGTTATAATTAAAATGCAAAACATCTTCTAAAATGCAGTTTGCCCTCACTCACTAGCAAATATGTACACTTTCAACTACATACTATGACACATTAAAAATATCAGAAGACTTTTGAGAACTTCACCCCCCTTTGGAGCCACGACCCAACCCATCTCACAGTGTGGCAGTACAGCTCTGTAACATCTGCAACCCTTGAATATTCAGTGTATTTTCAGAGGACAGGAAACAAGAGAGGATGAGGGCAGGAATGCAGTATCAGAGATAAATGGATGAAGAGATAGGATTTGGGAGTGTGGAGTGAAGGACAGCAGCAGGTATCAGCCAGCCAGTTTGCTGGCCACCAGAGAGGGTTTCCTCTGTGGCAGGTCCTGAGGGGTGGGGATGTGGTCTCCGGTGATCTCGGTCTTCTCTGTCTGCACCGCTGGAAGCTGCTTGTTCTTGATCTTGGCCTTCGCCATGTTGTAGTCGCCTGAGTCAAAGTACTTTGGCTGGGAAAGAAAGCAGTTGAGGAGAACTTGTTGGCATGAGTGAATTATGGCACAGTAAATGTGTTGATTCTGTTCCAAATACTTTGAAAGATGTTGTTACACTGTAAATATACATGAATTGAAAAAATGTTCAACAAAAACAAGACTGCCAAATATGAAATAGTATGCAATAGTAAATACAAACATATAATATGAAATTATTTCTTAATACACTTCTTACTGTAATGTCACGATCAACACGGAAGACGCCATTTTTCTCCTGCAGCAGTAGGGTTGGGTATCGATTGGGTTTTTTACGATACCGGTGCCAAATCGATACTTTTAAAACGGTACCGGTGCCTGAACTGATACTTTAAAAAAAGAGCCACAAAAAACCGATGGATAACATTAAAGAACATTAAAAATATTTAAAATAAATATACATTTCCCGAGTTGTGCTTCCCTTACTCTAAGGCTAATAAATGTATTTCACGATCTGGGTCATTATTTAATACAAAACCACACATAATGTTTCTACTGTATCTCTGTCAATCACTCTGATATTTAGTTAAAATGAGTGAATTGACTGAGTGCTGTCCGTCACTGTCTTTAATCAGTTCTGTGAATGACTGTATGGTATGCCACATGCACTGTAATATGTTTTATATTAAATATTACATTTTCAAATGAAAATAGCAACATGATTGTTTTATAAAGTATGCTTTCATATGTGTTAAAGGGCTAAATTTCTGCTGGAGGAAACAGCTGTGGTGTGATGAGGGGTGAACGCAGCGAAAACTTTACAGTAGATGGGAAACCGATTGCTCCCTCGTGACCTTTTGTAAACTGTATTTATGACAAAGAACTGCACAGATACAGATATTATAACAATCTATCGATAAACACACACCTTGTGTCCTCTGTTTCTGTTTGAGTCTGCGGATTGTAGAACATGCTGAAATTTAAAGGGGACTGACTCTGAGGCGATCACAGGATTGAACGCAACTGTTTTGAACGAGTGCACCTTTTTTTAACAACCAAAAAGTTTCGTTGTCTGTTGAGGAAGAACAGACGTTCCTCTTGTTGATAGCAGAGGAGCGGATCCAGCGAGAGATTGATGGGCCGACGCGGAATGAAAACGTTTTTTTTAGGAGTCGTGGCAGAAGAGGCGGCGCAAGTGGCACCGAAATGAGGCACCGAAATCTGCGTTCTTATTCGGTTCTAGTACATACCGGTTACATAGGTACCCAACCCTATGCAGCAGGCTTGCTACATGCAAGGTCTGCCTACACTACCAGTCAAATCTTTGGAATAACTAAGATTTTTTAAATGTGTTTGAAAGAAGTCTCTCATGCTCACCAAGTGAAAACATTGTGAAATAAGTAATATTGTGAAATATTATTACTATTTATTAAAATAACTTTTCTATTATAATATATTTTAAAATATAATTTATTCCTTTGATGGCAAAGCTGAATTTTCGAAATCAAGCTGATAACATATTATTATTATTATTACTATTATTAAAAGCAGTTTTTGGTGCTTAATATATTTGTGGAATCAGTGATACTCTACCATTCAAAAGATTGGGGCAAATAAGATTTATTATTTTATTTTTTAAGAAATGTATATTTTTAATAAGGAAGGAAATATCAAATTGATCAAAAGTGACAGAAAAGTCATGCATAATGTTACAAAATATTTTTTTAAATGCTGTTCTTTTGTACTTTCTATTCATCAAAGAATCCTGAAAAAATGTATCAAATTTTCTACAAAAAGATTAAAGGGGCTATAAGTAAGAATTTTCATGCATTAATTGCTCTTTTATTGCCAATGTGTGAAGAGCTTGACCTAGGTCGTCTATGAAAGCCTGTAGATTGATTTTTATTTGAAGGACTTGGGACGTTTTTGCTTGGAAAATCAAAAGGATGTAATGTTTATGTGTGCTCCTGAGAGCCTCTCTTCCGTTCTGACACATGAAACAAATGCTTATACAATATTCAGGTTAATGACAAAAGAGCTGCTCTGTACCATAATGTCAAAATGTCATGCAAAACAAAGGCATTAATTCAAACTAAAGTCTCACATAGCCAGATCTATACAGTCTATAGTCTCAAATATACCTTATAATCAAACTATCATAAGTGTATTTTTAATTATCTCATTTGTCAACATGATGCCGGTCAATTGCAGAGCTGGTGCAAACATATCCACATCGCTATGATCAGATGCTTTCTTAACTGCTGCTTTCTCACCGCTGTCATTTTTATTGTGTTTATTTTGTTAGAGGAAATCATTATTGACATATTTGTTACTGAATATTGACATATTCATCTAAGTGTCGGTCTCAGCAGCGTGGACGGCATCTTGATGTCCGTTACATTATATCAGTGCAAAGCTATTTCCAACTTCTTTTTACTTCTAAGCAAAGAACGGGAAAAACGTTTCCGCGAGTATATCGGGGCACTGAATTACGTTCAGTCTCTTGTACATTATGTGTGCAAGTTACTGTCTGCAGTTCACTTAACAGCCACCGGTGTCGCTGAATATAGTGCCTTTAAGGAGCAAAAACTGTTTTCAACATTGATAAGAGCCATTAATAATAACGGAGCACAAATAATTAATGAACAAAATTGAGCACCAAATCAACATATTACAATACTTTCTGAAGGATCATTTGAACACGAAAGACTGAAGTATCCACAGCCTTGGTGAGCATAAGAGACTTCTTTCCAAAACAACTTCCAAACTTTTGACCATTAATGTACATCCACGACCGAGGTTAATGTTCTCAAACTGACCAGAACTTGTGTCTGTAACACATCTTGCAGTGCACATGCCATCTGTGGCTCATGACTCAGTCACATGATGCTGTGATGTTCTACTGCCTGTGTAAAACCACCAAAGCCCTGTGATCTGTATCTCCTCTTATAACACAGTTATTCACCCTACCAATGTGGGCAGAAAGAGAGCATTGAATGAATCTCACCCCCTTCTGCAGTCTTTTTCTGAGCAGATCGGATCCTCCAGGCTTATTACCCAAGTGAGGGTATTTGGACTTCAGTTTGGCTTCCTCCAGTTTCTCTGGACAGATCTTATACTCCTCATCCTGAGAGAAAACACACATCACTCACATAAATTAATGTGACAATTTTGAGCCATACTGGCACCATTTAATTAAAAAATATCTGAGACTAACAAAAGAAGATTTCCCAAGCAAAATTCTAAAATGACAAACCAGAGATGGTCTTAGAGAAAGAGATGGTATGGAGAAAGCAGGTTCTGAATTTCGTTTTGGAAAATGGGGAGGAATTCCCCCTTTAGGTGGCTCTTATGGGGGGGATTTTTTAATTTGAAGGGGGAGTTAGGGTATTTTTTTAGACATATTTTTAAACTACAATCATCCAACTTAAATGTTTAGTGTATTTGTGTTTTACCATTTATAATGTTGTTGATTCATATTTATATTGTGAGGAAGATACTTAAAAAGATCTTCGATTTCAAACTCTGAATTGAATTTATTTTAACTAAAAAAGACAAGCAAACACTCAGTAATAAAATGAGAACAGATAAATGACAAGCAATGGCACAAACAAATACAATAACAAGATACAACTAAAATTAACTGTGCTTTAAGTTTTTCAGGTAGGTATAACAGTAATATTCAGGTACAGAAATACCACAGAAACTGAATAATCTATTTAACTAAAATAACACTGGTTAGTCTTCAATGTATAGGCTAAATAAACATTAATGACTGACAGCAGCAGGTTTATATAGTTTGTTACATTCACTTAAAGGGGTCATATGATGCAATTTCAATTTTTCCTTTCTCTTTGGAGTGTTACAAGCTCTTGGTGCATAAAGAAGATCTGTAAAGTTGCAAACACTAAAGTCTCAAATCCAAAGAGATATTCTTTATAAAAGTTAAGAGTCAGCCACACCTACCTAAAACGGCTCGTTCTAACACGCCCCACATGTCTACGTCACGATGTGCGAAGATTTGCATAACACCGCCCAAATGTGCACGCAAAGAAAGAAAGCGTGGTTTCAGGAACAGCAGTAGTGTTAATGCAGCCATGTCAGGGAGACGCTGTGTATTTCAGTGCAAAAGCAAAAGCACTTTATTTGGCCTTCCGGAAGTAGATGCAATTAGGAATCATTGGTTAAGATTTAGTTACAACAGAACAGCACAACCCAGATGTTCGAATTAGTGCAACGCATTTTATGGACGACAGCTTTTTGAACCTAGAAGAGTACAAGGCTGGATGTGCAAAAAGGCTATTTCTAAAAAAAAAAA